TCTTTGTACATGTACATTTAAACTCAGACAAAATATAAGATCCCCTAGACAAATCCTTAATATTAGATGTAATCTCCACTCCTTCCTAATATCTTGCCAAAATAATTCACTGTTGAATTATTCATGACTTGAATGTTGAGTTTTGTTTATTTGCAATATGATAAATACAGTTGTGTGGGGGCAACTTCTTTCTTCTACGAGAGGGAGACAGATAAAGGGGATTAACATTTGTACTTCCTTGCACAGGTATGAGCAACGGCCAAAGGGAAGCTCTTCAGGCTGCGGGCACGCAGACATCTTAGAAGCAGCCTGGGAGATGAGGCCCCTTGACAGGAGTAAGAGATGTGGGTACTGAATGAGGATCCACTGGAATTTCCTGGGAAAAAGTGGTCACAACTTTTGAGAAGAAAAGCTGGAAGGAGTGATCCTTACTAAAACCACTGGTCCTCATTAATTGCTTGGGTTAAAATTTTTATCACTTGCTTAAAGACACACAGAAGAGCACACAATTTCATCAGTAGTAGTGCTTGTAATGTTGATGCTTCAGAGACCACTGTCACTACTTGGGTTAAAATAGTGACTATCAACACAGATTCTGGACTTTCTCCATAACCATACCCCAATGCTCTAACAAGAAGCCCCAAATGAATATCACATAACAAAAATGAACTTCAGCTATTTCAATATTGAAGAACTAGACAAAATGAAAATAGTATTGGACCTTATAAATACAGCACTTTAATCAATGCTACAATATGTACATTTTTAAAGCATAAATTACAGTACAGAATTGTCCTATTTAAAATCTTCCTTAATTCTTGAGATAACCCTAAAACCTACTCCTGTAAGAGGAAATGAAGGCCCTATAATTTGGTTTTGTGGCTGTTAAAACTGGATCACTGGAAAAGTCTCATGGGAGTTCCCAAGTTGCTGACAGCTTTCCCAAGACCGAGATGCACAATTTGAAGTGGTGTTCGATGTGACACACCAGGCCTTTGATATCGGAATATTGAATCGGAGTTGCCAGCTCCATGAATAAACATCTATGATGACGTAGCATAAGGAAAATGGCAGAATTTTAAATTCCTGCTCCGATTGAGGCAAACTACATGACAGTGACCTTAAACTGGTTCCACAGAACCGTAGAAGCAATCTCTTTCCATGCTGTGGAAGGAGTATTTTGTTCTTTAACATCCTGCCTGAGAAGAGGTGAAATCAAGAGGCTACCGAGTGTATCTACACCCCCTCGTGCTAACCACCTCGTGTTGCCACTCTAGAATTTTTTACCTAAATACCCAGAATTCACACTGGATAAGGTATTGTGCTCCTGTGGGAAGGGTGTTAGTATGAATTTGGGTTCAGATCAGGCTGGATCTCTCAGGACCCTCAGCCTTTGCTCTTTCGTACTGGAGAAAGGCTGGGGAATGGAGTTCCAGGCAGTATGACAAGAATGAGCATTTCACGATTATTTTGGTTAAGCTCAAAGCCCTGATTTAGGGACACAAGGAAGCCCTGTGTCTAAATAATATAAATATTAGATAAAAGCTAAAAACGTCAGTCCAACATTTAGGGCCTCGAACTCAGCAGTAGGAAACATTCAGATCATTGGTCAGATTTCCAGTCTTTGCCCTGATGTTTGGGACTGGAAAGTTCAGTCTCTAGCTGGGCATCATAAAATCACTAAGTTCTTACGTTGATTTTTCTCCCTCCTAGCACACTAACTAAGGTTTAGCCTACAATTAAGCAATCATGTTGAGGCAAACACCTAATCCACTAGAGAAAAAATCCATCCACTCTCTCAAGAGAGGTTTCCTCTTTCCTGAAGCTCATGACATACCCAAGTCCCTTATGACAGATCTCCTTTCTCAGGGACAAACCTCCCACAGCAGCTGTCCTCCATCCCTTGGCCCCGAACAACAACAAAAATTACCACCAGAGGCACAAGTTTCACGCGAAGAGAACTCAGCCTCTTGGCATTCAAGGAAAAACCACAGCAGGGCAGGAAATGAGACTGTGCTGTGGGTGTCTGGCTCAAAGAGGATGCCTGAAACATGGGGTTCATAGGCAAGTTATTTTCACATGAAAGATGCACATACTGGAAGGAACCCAGTATTCCTTCTTCCGCGTTCCATCTGGATACCCCCTGATTTCTTAAGGCCAGGACTGGACGAGAAAGAGGAAGGTGGGACTGCGCCACCGACTGCAGCGTACTCGACAGCCCTGCTGCTCCTGGCAAGGACAGGACTCCCCCAACCCATTGGTCTACTAGAGCTCAGCCCACAGGCAGGATGGACTCAAAGCGGTAACAACAAAGGCTGAGGAGTCCCACGGAGGGGTCTGTGGCTACCCCACTGTCATCCTCTTGGTCCTCTAGAACTTAGGGCTGGGGCAAAGCACCATTTCCCACATCACACCCCGATGCTTCTTGGTCCTGCGATAGAGTGTATTTCTGTTGCCTCTGTTCTCATAGTAACACTTATCTCCGGCTGCCTGTGATCACTGGGGATCTCAAAATGCTTGCCCAAACCTGTTGATCCTCACAGTCTCTCAGTGAGATAGTGGCTGTTTGGAGTCACATTTCATCTGGAGGAAACTGAAGCATTGGTGGCGGGGGGGACAGGTGCAGCAGGCGCAGAAGCAGAGTGCTGGGGCGCCCAGATATTTTCCTGACTTCTCCCAATGTCAGTGAGTTCCAGTGTGTTTCCTTAAAGCCGCCACTGCCTCTAATAACTGTTCTTTTAAAAAGTCAAGATAGTAAATGTGACTTACAGAACTTAGAAGAAAAAAACCCGAAAGGAACAAAAAAACATCAACCCGGCCCACAGAGAAGGACATTTTGGGTTGATTGGCAGCTCTGGGAACTTCAGGGGATTAATAATCAGTTTGCAAATTACTCAAAGGGAAGTGTTGATATTGCTATTTCACCACACAAATAGGCCCCAGAGATAGCTGGTGACGCTGCGAAAGTGCCTATCACTCAAGATGAGTGTGTCATATGCACAGAATTCTTGACATCGCAACTACGGGGCCATACTTTAGGCTTCGTGATCACTCATGCTGTCGGATGAAGATAGCAGAGGAGACTCAAAGAATGTTCTATAAAAAGTCAGATACCTTTGGCTACTGTGGGTGGAATAGCGGTTCAGTCAAGTAATGCACATTACTCAGTGTTAAGTATTTTCTCTTTGTTCATTTGGGCACCTAGAAATACAGAGATGATAAATAATGGGGAAAAAAATCAGTATTGTTTTCTGAAAAACTGAAGACGGGTTGAAGAATAATACAGAAGCTAGACTACTGTAATTATTTTTATAACCAAATAGAACTGTTTGAGAATCCTAAATGTTGGCACTATTTTACATCATATTTGGATAGAAATATTTTCTGATGAGCTTCTCCTATGTTAGAAATGAGTAGAAAACAAGACCTTGATTCAGCTGTTCAGGCTTCATCATTACTTTCTGAGGCTTACAGACGAATGCCGCTCCTTGTGTTGACTTGCAATTAGTACCTTGAACTCATCCCTCAGATCAATGTGATTAAAACTGGCTGTAGGAGGTGGATTTTCAAAGTACCGCATAGGGATTTAATCCCCTGATGCCCATTACTGTGAGTAGGAGCTGTGAGTCTAAATGCCCTGCAGCCGGCCCAAAATTTACCCCCCCCCCCCCGCCCCCCGCTGCCTCCGAGTGCCAATTAAATAATGAAAACCAAAACCGTGGTCAGACGTAATTAGTTTGAGAGCAGAGTTTTATAATTTTCCTCATGCCAAACAAACAAATTGACCCCTCTGATGACATGCACAGAATAATTCAGTTTGGACAAAGAGAACACAAATCTCAAGTCTGAACATTTCTTGTGCTATTTGTCAGAAGTTGTTAATATCGAAAAACTGTGCTCTTCTGGGAGTGGGAAAATGAGGAAATAAACTCTGGGGTCCAAATTGTTGGAAATGCAGTTTATATTGTTGTTGGTTTCTTCTTCTACTTAAAAAAACAGTCAAGACTCTGGTTGATCCAGGTTTCATCGAAAATGTGTTACTTCTTAAAAATACAATTCTGATAGGAACAGACGTCAGCTGAGTAGCTGGCAAAACTGCCCAAGAGAAGGACAGTTCTTGCAAGACTGTTGGGCATTTCTTAGCCCAAACCACCTCTGAAAGAGTGTCAAGCTTACGAGTCCCTGGGGCAAGCCAAGCCAAGTCCTGCTCCTGGCCAAGTGTGGGGTGAGGCCATCTCCATGGCGACCCGGAGCTGGGGTGCTGCTGCATGACAACGTGTATTTGAATCTAAGGATATGGGCTGGGTTAGGAGAAGTAATCGTTCTGTTTTTGTTGCTGTTTCTGTTTCTCTGCTTAGTTTAGTTTGGGGAGGTGGGGAATGAAAACGGAGGAAGAGAAGAGAAAAATGAGGTTAAAAAAAACCTTCCACAAGGGGGGATCTATCATGGCGAGCCACTGGTCTACTATTTCCCACTTCATTAGTTCAAAATTCTCTTATTTTACTCAATCGAATATTGCAAACATTCTTCCACCTTGTTGGTTTGAGTTGGAAAAAGCCAGCACACACAAGTCAGGGAATTAACTGTGTCCTTAAGGCACGTTGAGTAAAACAGTGTCCCAGAGCTACTGGTTGGACAGGCAGCGCTGCGGTCATCAATATGAACGCCCCAAACCTCCTACTCAGTGCTTTCTGGGACACGCGGTGTGTTCTCACGCACACACACACGTGTGTATACGTGCTGGGAAATGGAAAAGACAAGCAGTAAACTATAGTTACAATGAAGGAAAAAATACTTTTTTTTCCCAGTGAAAAATATCAGACTTAGTAATAATAATCTGTGGAAGCTACATTTAAAAAGTCATGAAACAGCAAAGCTGCTTCTAAAGAGATTATGAACTGGGGACCACAATACTTATTTGAACGTACTTTGATTCTGAAGTTTCCTTGTAAAAATATTCAAAGAAATTGGTGGACACTTTTTACATACAACTCGATTTCTCTCATTTACAACATAAATCATTTAATGTAACATTTGCAACCTTAGAAAGGCAGACATATTTAATCCAAGTCAGTTTATAAATTCCAATTTCACATGGATTAAAAACTGCGATAAATTAAGTCACAATAATATCCTGTACATGCATTAAGGCTGGTGACTGCTAAAGTCTCTTGGGTATCTACAAACAGAAAATCACACACAGATTACTGGGTCTGAAGAGTGTCTACATCATTAAAAAAATCTTGCTTTTTCTTTTTTTTGGTGATACAGATTTCAACAGTAACTCTGGAAAACTGTGAAAAATGTTATTTAAAAATATATATGTATATACTACTGCACAGTTTCAAAGATGTGATTCGTAAATAATGTTGGCTGCACTGATCAATTTTATAACAATTACTGCACTTCCAAGGTGATTTGAACACGCAGTGACTTGTACTCAATATTAGGCACTAGTAATATCCTTCGGGCGTACTACAGTTTTATGTTAGCTGTATTGTACATATATATTTTTAAATGTATGCATTTATACAAACTGTGTATATTATGTATGGGATGTCAGAAATGTACACATCACTGTTATATAATACACACATCATTGTTGTACATAACAGGATAAGTTTAGTGCAGAAAGTCTCACTGCATTGCATTCCACGTGTTCAATCTAGCATACAATTTGTCAACTCTTCAGATTATTTTTCCAGTACATTCCTCTTTAGATAGTGGGTCTGAGTTTCCATTTGCAATTTGAAAGTTTCCAGAAATATCTGTTTTAACTAAACCTCTCTTTCCAGGCACAATTCTGCACATAAGTCTGATCTGTGTAGAGTAGTAACAAACCCTAAATTTTGATCAGGAATATATTGGGGTTACTCTCTTTCAAAGATAACGCTAACATTGTGATAAAGGATGGCATCCATTCAGGTCACAGAAGGATAAGGTCAGTCGAACTTGTGTTGAACTTCTGAAGAAATAATATGTCTTCAAATAGAAAAAAATGGTAATAGACGTGATGTGTTTAAATGCGAGAATCACTAGAAAGATACATATGAAACGGTGAGCAGTGGTTTTCTCCGGAGGACGGGACTGACTACTTTCTATGTTTTTGTATTGTTTGCATTTTTACAATGAGCATGTATTACTTTCATAATCAGAGAACACAAGAAAGATTTCCACTTTGAACAAAACCAAACAAAAGGAACAAGCTCTGAAGGACTTTCACAAACAACAATCAGAAGATGGCTCCTTACCAAAATCATCTATGCCAACGTGAACAAAAACCGCTGCCCTGACATGCTCTACCAATGAAATAAAAGACAGGGAGAGGAACGGCATGCTCTGACCATCCCCAAAATGACCATTTTCAAGTTTTGTTGGGACATGTGGGTCACCAAAGTACTGACAAAGTGCCACCGGCACAATCAGCCAGAGGCCACCTGTGTATCTAAATGGGTTTCATGGTCAAGCACATCACACGGGTACCACAACAAGGCCTGCAACTTTAAAGATGGGCAAAACCAGGAAAGCACCCTGGGGAGGCCCGATGGACCCTGAGGGTCATCCCTTTATGTGAGAGTTTGAACATTTCATCAGAACTCAGCAAGAGCAAGTATAACTAAACCTCAGTCCTCCAAAAAAAAAAAAAAAAAAATCCAAATTTCTTAAGTTAGACCCAAATTTCCAACATAGGATGGGATTGTGAACTCCGCCTACAATTATTCAAAGGTATGTAAGAAGCACCTCAGGTGGATAAATGTAACACAGAAATACCGTTAATATTTCCAGATGCTTAAGGCCAAAGCCAAATGCAAATTTCACAAACCCTTCATCTGCTCATTTTAAAGTAATTTCAAATCACCAAAGTTGTTCAATCATTTGCAGCTTTGAATCAGTGCTTACAGCTAGGGAATTACAGCAATCTTTTTTCCCACCTACAGAGCAGGCTGACAAAAACGTTGACACCGCCACCAAACTAATAAGACCATCACTGAAAGCATATATTAGTATCTATTATAAACCACCAGCACCTTGAAAAATGGACTGTTCCACGTGCCACATCACCTGTCTTTCTCAGACTGTCCTGGTGCAATTTTGTCAAGTGAGAGGCCTCAGGGACATTATTTTTGTTGTTCAAGTGTGGCAAAGTATATCCTCGTTTTCAGGAGTTTTTTTTTTACCAATATTTTTATATCCAAATAGATTTAACAAGAAGACTAAACCTAAGGCATGACAAGAGACTATAATAGAAATGTTTTAGACAAAATCTGTAAACAAGATGTCAAAAAACTAAAATGTAAACTTAATTAAAAAAAAAAGAAAAGAAAAGAATCAAGGGCAGGACGTAAACACACCAGACGCACAGGATGGAAGCATGATGTTCTGGTCGTTGCTACCCCAAACAGAACTGCAATCATTGCAGGAATAATTTACCCTGCGTAGCAAGCAGCTTGCTAATCCAAGCCTAAAACATATCCCCCGGATCGAAATGCATTACAGGGCTGCAGAGGCACATTCTGCAGGACGACTGAGACGATTAGACAGATTCATGATAAGCAAATAGTTCTCAGCCTGATAAGCAACAGATACAGACTCCCAGCGAAGGGACATTCTAGGTAACGTCCTAATTTGGCCAAGAAATTAGTAAGAAAGCTATTTCAGAAAGAAAAGACTTGAAAAGCATTGGCCAACAAATGCCACGAGGCCCGACAGCCACCGTGTCACAGCGGCAGGAAGAAGAAACGTGCTGGACGGGCTTGTTGTTGGATGTGCGAAAGATTTCAATTCCTAACTGAGGTCCAAAACACAGTTATTGCAGCTTTAATGTGGGTTAACTTTCAGAGGCACTGAGTTTTTAAATCTCAGTGCCATTTTCATACTATTTTGGGGGCAGGGAAGGCCTGTAGGAGTTGGTTCATTTGCTTGTAACATGTTTAGTTGATAATAAAGTTGGAGGGAAGGAGTGGGTAATCAACAAAAGTCAGAGTATTTGGTAACATGCAATCTAGTAAACGTCCAGCACAAAAATAACTGACTTATTTTCATTATTCAATTACCCATTAATATACACAATCAAAAAATAATTGGGGTATAGTATAATAATACTGAAAGTAATCAATAGTATAAGAACTAGGTTCATATTAACTGGCAGTCAAGCTTTTGGTGTGCTGTATTGCACCTGGTTAACTAACCCATGAGATTTTGGTTGAATGTTCTAAGAAGTCATGGTTTAGCTTTGAAACAGAAAGTGTGTGTGTGTGTGTGTGTGTGTGTGTGTAAGTGTATTTTCTCTAATCAGAAACCTCTGATCACTTTGTCTAGCCTGGGATTATGGAAACTAGACAAAGAAAATGTGTTCTAAAGAGGTGTGTATCTTACACACATACACAGGCAGCTTCTTATACACCCACACATACAAACACACATGCCCTGGGAAAAGACCATTGTTCAATGCTGAGAAAATCTTCACCGCAGTTTGATAAATGCTGTGGCTGGGAATTACAGTAGCACAGTGTCCAGAAACATTGAGCTGTCCATGGAGACGGGAGCATGACCCAGCTCAAGGGTGAGGTCCCTATGACAGGTGGGTGCTGTTCCGCAGCCAGTGCAGGCCCTGCTGGGAGTACTGGACCAGGTGCTCCATGCTGCTGTGCAGGGTAACAGGCCCCATGAGCAGATCCAGGTCGTTGAAGAATTCTGGGGGACGGAGAGAGTTGTTAGAGTGCCATACACGCTAAGTGTGCTACCCTGAGTGACTTAAGAAAAAATTTCATTCACGGTCTCTATATAAATGAAGCATTGTCTGTTCCATCATGTGACTTTAGCATTCAAGTGAACAAAATAAAACCCAAAGGTGGATAACTCATCCTCTACCCAAATAATCACTCAGTTGGCCATTTTTAATTCAAATGAATAACATTTCCTTAGCCAAATAGCAAAGAAAATGTACTTCCTCAGGACGTATTCTCCTTATGCAGTAATGCTTCCCACCCCGAACGTGAGCTGTGGCTCTGTCATCTCTTATACTGTACTCAACTGTGGCACATGCTGAGCCCCTGGAGTGAGTCCAAGGGAGAAGGCTCCAGGCTCCTGGGGGCAAAGCAGAGATGGCTTCTGAAACGTCTCTACTGAGGTCACCTTCTCATCCTGGGACATTCTCTGGGTTTGTCCTTTCCTTAAGCATTTATTATGTGCCAAGGAGGGTATGCTAGATGCAGGAGAGTAGAGGTAGGAGAGTAAACAAAGACAAGTAATGTGTAGGCTCTGCTCTCTCAGAGATGACAGTTTAGTGGCAAATAGAGACACGTTCATATGGCTGCTATGCCATCATAACTGGATCACTGAGCAACACTCCTGGAAAGTGTGCGGGAGAAGTTTTCCAAAGGTGCTCACGTGCATGGGGAATGAAGTCCTGCTGAGGAAGGTAAGGGAGGGGTCAGAGAAGACTAAGTTACAGGTGGCTAGGAGCAGAGCTGCGGCAGGAAATCGAGAGCAGAAGAGGGGAGGAGGAACAGGTCGGGGAAAGAATGCCGACTTTGCACTGGACATGTGGCACTGAGCCCTTGGAGGAGACATCTAGTGGGCAGCTGGCAGTGCCATCTGGAGCCTGGCCCCATCAGGGTCTCCCAAACTAGCCGTGAACGTTTTTATACATTTGTTCCTCCTGTTCTGTCCACCTGTGACACTCACCCCACTCTATCTCAGCCACTCAACTCCTATCTGCTTTTCAAAACTGTGTTCCATGCCAGCTCCTCTGGTGAGCCTCTCCTGGTGGTCTCAGCTCCCTGCCATTGACCTCCGTGGCATTCCCATTGGATTTCCAGGGTGCATGACCTCTGCGCTGATGTTACACACTATCTGGTTTTATTGTCAATTTCACGTACTCAGGACCTACTGCCTATCTCTGCCATAAATTCCTCATCTCACCGTGGGCATCCTGATCTTGTCCTCAGAGGCTTAGGCTACCATGGGAACAAAATCTGCACTGAATGGCTTGAAAGTGAGATCAGATTTGTAATCTCACCAGTTGGTAGAGGGAGAGGAGTAAGTTGGTATAACCTTTTGGGAGAAAAGTTATAATCTTAAAAGAATCTATACCTGTTAACCCCCAAATTTTACTTCTACAATTCCCTCCTATGAAGATAATCAGAAATACAGACAATGATTTCTACAAGGATATTTATCACAACGTTACGTGTAATAGTGGAAAGGAAATTGCAAGTAATCTAAATGTCCAACAGGGGGATGGTTTGAGAAATCATGGTATGTTACATAAGTACTGTTATGACAATATTATAGATCCATCATAAAGGGTGTTTTTGAACTAGTTAGTGACATGAGAAATGCCTGATGTAATATTAAATTTAAGAAGGACAGGATATAAAACTATATATACTATGATCTTATTTTGGTAAAAATCATGCATATGTGGCAAAGAACTAGAAGAAACTTCAGTAGAATGTTAACAGTAATTATTTCTTGGTGATAAGATTACTGATGATTAAAAATTTTTTTATAGTTTTCTGTACTTTACAAATTTAGCCACAGTAAATATCCATTTTTTAAATAATTAATAAAAACAAATATTACTTAAAAAGAAATATAGCTTACTCCTACATATAAAACATTCTCTTTTCAGTAGTAACCAGCTATCACTTAAATAGCTAGTAACATTCATACTCATTAATTAATTAATTTATTAATTCAATGTTTCAGATCCCCAACTATGTTCTATGCACTGTGCAGGTCTTAGGAACACAAAGTTGAAGACTTTGAAGTTAAAACATAATCACTACTTTCAAGAAGCTTACTGTCTAAAGGGAAAAACCTATGTGTATATATCTAAATCTGTGTTCTCTCTCTCTCTGTCTCTCTCTCTCCCTAATCTTCCACAGTAAATATAAAGGTAGCTAAAGGCATAGGAGGCCCTGAGTGAAGGGGAGAGGTCGGGAAAAGTTTCACAGAGTAGACAGCTTCTACTATTTCTTCTTTGCTAATTGATGAAAACTTGCCCAAGGGTCAGGCTGTCTCCCCAGGCTGTGGTCGAACCACGCACACACTCCTAGAGGCACACACACCTCTGTTTTCCTTGGCCAGGTTGTCCGCCATCTCCCAGTAGTCATAGCTGTGGAGAATGCTGTTGGTGATGCTGACGTGGTTGGCTGCCATCTGGTGGATGCGCTGTGGGATGCTGACAATGGTCGAAGGGGACAGGGTGCTAGCATTGGAGAGGCTCCCCTGAGATCCCACGGAGCTGGTGGGGGAGGGGTTGGGAGACATGGGGGATGGGGTTCCAGTGCTCCTGGAAGGGGAAGAGGGTAGAAAGACAAGAATGAGAGGTTGATACCCAGTGAGGCAGGGCAGCCCCTCAGGGCACTGTAAACAAAGAAGCACACTGCTCCATGTCATGCAGCGTCTCATTTATCGCCTTTACTTTGGAAAAATGAACTTACTTTCCACTGGCCCCCCATGGCGATGGGGCTTGGGCAGCTTTAGATGAATTCTGCAGGAAAATAAAAACATTGACAGTGAGTACCATCTGCTTAAGTTTAAAGAGCCAACGATAATAGATTCTCAGGTGACCAGTGAGAGTAGTAACGGAAGACATTGCAGATAAAATGTAGATTCACAGAAATTGGATCTGGGAATTACTAGGCTACTGGTTTCCTCTCTGGAAGCTGGTGAGGGGCAGCTGCGTGGCCTGCTGGGTTCCACGGCGGGCTACAATGAAGAGCTCAGCCCACAGCCTGGGTCTTCAGGCACCAAATTAAATCATAATCCTGAGGATCTGTTGAATCTCAAACCAGACTAATTTTTTCACCTTAAACTAGCTTAATTATTCTGAAAAGGAAAAAAGAGCACTAACCAGTGGCTCCCCCCGCCCACGCTGAAAACACCTTATATTTAAATATAGGGCATATTGCCAGAAACCACTGACATACATTTAAATGCCCCAAAATTTGAGACCCCAAATTCTATTGTTTTAACTTATGAAGCTTAAAAGTATTTCTCTTAAAGGAAGCTGCTCTTGCATGTTTCTAAAAGAACAGATTAAAACGTATTTCCTTAATAGGTAGGCAATTTAAAAATTCTGATTTATCTGAATATTCCAATTTAGGATGTTATGTTGCATGAGCCAGTTGTTTGCATCAGGCATTTAAAAGAAGTTTTGTCTTTGGCAAGAAAAGTTGCTACATGTACAGACAGATTTCCTCTCTAGAGTCTAATAATGTCTTCTTGGACGTAAGTTTGTGGGACTGTTAAGGAAAAAATGGTCTTTATGATGCTGATGTGAATTTTCTTCTCCAGAGACCAAAAAAATAGCCTCAGACTGGTTTCCCAGAGACAAAGTGTTTCTTTTGGTTAAAGAGAACTTCATGAAGTGGTGACTGAGTTTTAGTTTTCAGCGGAGGTGTTATCAAGTTGGTAAGAAATGGCCTTACACGTGGCAATTTTGCAGTTGTCTTCAGCCATCTTTCGCTGCCACTAAGCCCTGTGACTGTAAAAAACATGCGTGGGGAGAAAGTCCTTTATTCAAAGACAGCTCTGTACTGATAAAACACATTCTTTATGGATAAACTGCCACTGTTATGTGAATGTTTCATAATCTCTGAACTTTAAGTAGCATTTAAATAGCCTTTGATTAAGGGTAACCGCCAGTAACTCCTGGAGGGGAAACTCTAATTTTTAAGTTGTGTTCCTTATCCATTCGGTACATATTCTTGGACTGCACATATACATTAAGAATTCCCTGTGTCCCTTAAAAGTTCTGTCGTGACCCCTGTGGCTTACAGAGTTCAGATTCCTTCTTTAGTCAAGCATTTTTCTTGACTGGAATAACTCTCTTTAGTCTTAGCTCTTAGATCCTAAATTTTTGAAAACTACTTATCCTGACCTTCGGTGCCCAAAGTAAAGGGAAGGACTTAGTGTCAGTTCCTGTCATCATGACACACGATGGTCAATGGGCCAAGATGGTAATCTCCCTGGCTTAGCACCTGGTTACTCTAACGCATGACCAGGAGGGAGGCGGCATGCGGGACGCAGCCCACGGGACCCCCAACATAGCCTGGTCATCAGAGATAATCTCTCACGAGTGGAGGCTGGGGATTAAAGGATCTAAAATGATGGTTGTGTCCCTGACGAAGGCGTTGGTGGAGGTAGAGATGGTATAATTTCTTCTTCCTAAACAGACAGCAAAGAGGCCCAGAAATCTCAAATGAATTATTACTTCAGGTCCACTTCACAACAGTACATCAGAGAAGGTACTCTTCTTGTTCTTTTTTTATTCTCTTAGTGAAAATGATTTCATTTCCTGAGATAAGGAAAAGTTAGCATGGTTTCCAATTCTATCCTCATATTTACACATTGCCATTGTCCTAGTGCCTCTGAGTTCTAACAAGTCATTTCTTATCATTTAAAATAATACCTTTATTAAAAATTAAATCAGCTATGGGGGACAGCTAAGGCAGTTCTAAGCAGTTACTTCTAAGAGGAAGCAGCTGTAAGAGAACATGAAGAATTTATGTTAGCTATAAAGGTGGGTTTCCCAGGACACTGGAATGAGTAACTGGATCTTCTTTCTCTTGAGGCCATAAAAATACCTGGACACAAGGCAGGGGGATAAATTAGATGGGCTGTCAAGGCCATTCTCTGAGCCCTGAACACCACGAGTATGGCACAAATGGGGTGAGTGTGGATAGCAGGGGGCTCCTGTATTATCCCGGAACCAACAGATTCTACCAGACTCCTTGAAAATGTCCTTGACAGGGAGTCAACTGACTACAAGGGACAAGGGTGCCCATTAGCCACACAGTACCTTGAAATAGTCGATCAGTGCTTTTGAATACTTTACAGCATGGTCCCTTTTGAGTCGAAACATCCGCCAGTAAAGGAGAGCCAGGCATCGGTAACTGCAGCAGAAAAAGAGAAATGGGCCCTGAAAGCATGAGTGTGTCCTTTGCAAAAAAGACTTTACAAAAATCTTGTTGCTCTAAGGCACTCAATATTTACGGCATGATTATATATATAAAATATTTCTATACACATGTATATGTCTGTAACTATCCGACTTTCCTTTTGTTCATAAGATATAATTCAAAATTTCAAGCAGTTGCTTCGTAAATATATTTACCACTAGATCATTTTATATTAGCTTTATTGTTTCTTTGTCGGGGCCAAGGGGCTGGCCATTTTCTTCTTCCACCACTAGAGGGCAGTCTCTCTCCACGAGAGGAGTCAGGAAGCCCCAGCACAGCTCTCACCGCCTGCTGGGTGAGTTCCAGGGCAGAGCCGCTGACTGATTTCCCTTGGACATCCTGGACTGTCCCCCCTCCCCGATGGGCTTTGCTGAAAGAATAGCCCTTCCACCTGTTTTTATTCTTTCACTTGTAAATTACTTTACTATAATTAGTTCAAATAGAGTAACAGTTATGAACGTGTTTTATAAACAATAAAAACTCTATGGTGAGAGTAGTTATTGTTTTAGGTAATAGTTTATACATTTATTATTTACATATTAGTAGTCTATGATATAATATTAATTATTAATCATCATTAATTTATTAATCCTAATGTGGAACTTAAAGTTTGAAAAGAGCACAGAGAGCATTTTCTGAGACACATCTCTTTTCCTTGGTGCTTTCTATTCGTAATTATTTGCTAACTCAGATCTGGGACTGACATGACAACAGACCAAACACACACATACAAATATGACCCCAGCATCCCAAATACAACCTAACAGTCTCTTGTCGGCAGAGCCAATTCCAGACGATGCGACGACGTGAAAGGACTGAGACCCTCTCTTTTGTGTGTGTTGCTGTTATTTTTTCAAGACTCAATTCTCTACCTTTCAGATCAGATTCTAGAGTGGAGTAGGAGCCGTTGAAGACCAAAAAAAATTGGATCCCTCTCACAGGAGGAACCAATAGAGAGGTGTCTTGTGATTTGGGAGAGTAGGGTGAGCTGTCCTGAAGAGGTGCAACAGGGAAAACTATTTTTATTATATCATTGCAATCATTTTACAGATAGAAAAAAATGATTACAGTTACTATTTTGAAAGAAATGCTTTTATTATCAAGTAAAATGAACTGCTCCTCCGTTTCATGTGTTGAGAACTTTAAGGCACCATCTTGATTCAGTAATTCTGATCCCACATGTAAAGAGATGAATTATTTTGATTGCATCTAAAATGTTAAACACAGAGAAATTACACTAGGCACAATTCACATTCAAATTATTAAAACACAGACCTACCTGGTTTTAAAACACACACACATAGGAAAAATTATCCTTGTGTAATGCACCTGTTGATTTTCCATCACTGTGAGGTCACATCATGCATGGGATAACAGCAAGAAGCGAGGTGGGCTCTCCCTGGCCACCACTAGAACCGCTTTTGGTTTTGCGTGTTAGAGGACGCTATGGAATGTTATGCATTTCAGCACCTGGTGTGCCAATGAAGATATGCAAGACTGGGGAAGCTGCTTTAAGCTGACATGATGTACTCACCATAGTGCAGCCAGTTGTTTATCCTCTGGTGTGGCATTGGGGCCTGAGTGGGTTTTTAGTCTCATAGCATACCTACAAAAAAAAGAGAAGAAAGAAAAACCAAAGAAACTGTTTCAAAAAGCTTTCTTATTAACCATAGAACATTTTCTAGGATGGAAGTTCTCTCTGCCCAACACTTAGTTTTTCATAGCGCTTGCCAATAATTCCTTCCTAAAAGCTGGCTGATGCTGCCCCATTTTCCCTAAGCATTACATTATCGTGACGACTAGAACAGACGGCTTTTATGACCATCTAGCTACTTTCTGCTCTTTAACAATACAAATTCAAATGCTACAGATGGTCGAGAGTGATACCAATTCAAGCATTATCCACGTATACGGTGGCATCCATTTTTTACAAATTTTGATTTATGGCTAAGCGGCCGATAAGATGGAGGCAAGCTTCAATCCTTCCAGGCTTATCTCCAGAAGAAGTTTCCTCCCTTGTACTCAGATGAAAGCTTCGATTTACCCCTTTTTAATTGTTATGGAACTTTTACCTCGACAGCAGCGTAGGCATCCTGGGTACATAACCAGTGGCTTTTATGCACTTTACTTAACTCCACTTATTTCTCTGAACCAGAAGGACTGTGGCCCATCCTTTCTCCTGGTAATATACCAAGTTACTTGCAGACTTTCTGAGAGAGTTGAGACAGTATGTGTAACGGTCAGGGAGTCCTGGATTCAAATTCCAGCTCAGCTACTTATTAGCTGTGAGAGCTTAGAAAATGTAGTAATATCTTTAAGCCTCCATTTCCTTATCTACAAAATAAGACTAATACAGCTGATCACACAGCATCGTTGTAGGGATTAACTGTGACAGTATTTGTAAGGCTCTTAGCATAGCAGGATGGCTCATTGTAAATGGCTCAAAAATGATACTGTTAGCGCACTATCTCCACAACATGCAGATTGGTATGTTTTCGAGTTGATCTGTGGGCATAGTTTTCACAGTGGTTGCTCTGGGTACTACAATATACATATGTGACATCGCAATTTACTGGGATCAACACGTTACCACTTTGAGTGAACTGCGGAAACCTCACTTGCGTTAGTTTGCTTTACTTTCTCCATTTTTAAATAACGTCGTCTTGAGTTATCAGATGGTGGTATAATTTTTGTTTCAATCATCAAATATGCTTATAAAACTCATGAGGATGGTTTATTGCATGTATACATACTTCTGTTCTTCTATTGTTTTTTCTTCCTGACGCTCCAAGATTCCTTCTTTTGTCATTTCCTTTCTGTTTGAGGAACTTCCTTTAGCCAATCTTTAAGGGTGAGTGTTCAAGATAAAAACTTCAAGTTTTCCTTAGTCTGAGAATATTTTTATTTCCCTTTATTCCTGAAGGATGAAGTTTCACTGAATCTAGAATTCACGGTCTGACAGCTTTTTCCTTTTTCAGCACCTGAAGAATGTGTGCCTCGCCCTCCTGGCCTCTGTGGTTTCAGAGGAGAGGTCTGCTGTCATTGGAACTGGTGCTCCCCCGTAGGTAACATGTCCTTTCTCTCTGGCTCCTTTCAGGACTTGTTTCTTTGTCTACAGTTTTTGGAAATGTGGTTATGATGTGTCCTGGCATGCACTTCTTTGGGTTTGTCCTATTTGGGTTTTTCTCAGCTTCTTGAACCTATGGGTTGATGTCTTTTGCCAAATTTACTAAGTTTTAGCCAATCCTTCTTCAAATACTTTTCAGCCTCACTCTCTCCCTCTCCTTCTGGGACTCCAATGATACACATGTTGGATCTTTTGTCACTGTGCTGGAGGCACTATCCTTTTTTTTCAGTCTATTTTCTCTCTGTTGCTCAGATTAGGTAAATTCTATTTTCTGTTCTCAAGTTCAATCATTCTACGCTCTGTAATTTCCACTCTGCTACTGAGCCCATCCAGTGAGGTTTTGGTTTCTGTTATATTTTTCAGTTCTATACTTACATTTGGTTCTTTTTAAAATAATTTTTTTGCTGTGATTTTTAATTTTTTGTTTGTTTCAAGAGAACCTGCACTTATTTGGTTCTAGGTAGTTTCACCACAAGGATTTTAAAGCAGCCATCATAAAAATGCTTCAACGCAGGGGGCTGGCCTGGTCGCGCAGCAGTTAAGTTCGCACGTTCCACTTCTTGGTGACCCGGGGTTCGCCGGTTTGGATCCCGGGTGCAGCATGGCACCACTTGGCAAAAGCCATGCTGTGGTAGGCATCCCACGTATAACGTAGAGGAAGATGGGCATGGATGTTAGCTCAGGGCCAGTCTTCCTCAGCAAAAAGAGGAGGATTGGCAGTAGTTAGCTCAGGGTTAATCTTCCTCAAAAAAAAAATTAAAAAGAAAAACAAGCTTCAACAGACAATTACACATCCGGCAGTTTCACTGCAAGCATTTTTGCCACCGACATCTTTGCTGCAAGCATTTTCATCACATAACTAATTGCCTGTAAGGCAATTTTGCTGTAAAAAATAAAAAAATAACTAGTTGACAGTTTTTGCTGCTGTTGGTAGTTTTCATTTCCCCATTGACAAAGTTCTCGCAGTTACACCCATTTTTATATGATATAAATCTTAGCTGGGGCTCATAATGGTCTATACAGTAACGAGTAGATGTGTTGGTGGTCTTAAAACAGTTAGTGTTTCTTCCAGTGATGTTTTATTGATGGCTTTATTGAGCTGACAGATGATGAGGATTGGTCCCAAGAGTCGGTTTCCTATTTGGAAACACACTACGTTGGAGGAGAAGAGGGCTGAGGGAGCAGAGTCAAATGCACACTTCCCACAGAACAAAGACAAGTGCTTCAGTACAATCCACACACACACACACACACACACACACAAAATCAAATCAGTTCTTAGGGCAGTACTGCCATGAATTGACATACACACATTTTAAATGTATTCAAATATTTTTGTTTTGCAATAGTCTCAAATTTTGTTATTCATTTCTTCATGTTTCAATATGTCCTTTTTAATCAATATCCCTTTTTTATTTTTTGCGATTTTATCTTTTATGGCAAAACGGCCTTACGGCCTATTAGTTACACAGTGAAAATGCTTGTGGCTAAAATGGTTGTGGCAAAGATGTCTGCAGCAAAGATGCTTGCAGTGAACACTGGACATGTAATTGCATGTTGAAGCATTTTTATGATGGCTGTTTGAAAATCTGTGTCAGATAATTCCAACACCTGATTCACCTTGGTTATTGGTGTCAATTGTCTTTTCTCATTCCAGCTGTGATTTTCTTGTTTCTTGGTATGACAGTGAGTTTCTATTGTATCTTGGACATTTTGGCAATTATGTTAGGAGACTCTGGGTCCTATTTAAATTTCTTCTTTTAAAAAGAAGTCACTCTGTTTAGGTTTAGCAGTCAGATCCTGACCTACTTTTTTTTTGGTGAGGAAGATTGGCCCTGAGCTAACATCTGTGCCAATCTTCCTCTATTTTGCATGCGGGATGCCACCACAGCATGGCTTAAAGAGCGGTGTGTAGGTCTGCACCTGGCATTCAAATCCGCAAACCTTAGGCCACCAAAGTGGAGCATGCTAACTTGACCATTATGCCACTGGGCTGGTCCCTCATCCTGACCTACTTTTGTGGGCTATGGTTCCAAATACAATTTAGTTTTCAGAGCTTTTGAGGTGCAATTTTGATTTGTGATGGCAGGGTTCCACTTGTCAGTGTCCGTTAGTCACTTGGTGTTCCTGGGTGGAGAAAGGAATTCTCTTGTCCATGGGGACGCAGAGCACATCCTGGGCTGGACACCTGTGGGGAGATCCCCCTTGCCAGTGCTCCCCCCCCCCCCCCCCCCCCCCCCCCCCCC